TGGATAGAAGGGGCGTGTGTGCTCTTCCCAATGAAAGCTGGCCTGGCTGAGACCTTGTGGCCATACAGAGCCAGGCCCCTCAGACCTTCTGCTCCCATCTCTTCCGACCTACCCGGAATCTGATGTGAAGTCAGGCTCGGTCTGGCCGTTTAACTCCCCAACTTAGCTCTCCCCCTCCCCTCCTGTTTCCATCTCTGGTCTGCTGTCCCAACAGCAGCTCACGCCCAGGCCAGCCATTCACAGCATAACCAGTGTGGCTGTTCCGCCCACATGAGGATATGCCAGGGACAAAGATCTCACTGAGGGCTTAGCCTTGGCAACCCGGAAGCTCACCTGGGACTGCTCTAAAAATGAGAACAGCCCCACTATCAGCCAAAACCCTTCCATCTGGCTCCTTGCAAATCTACTTCTCTCTCTGGGTCCACCATGGCTGTCATTTCTGTCAGATGAGTCCCTCTGTCCATTCCCAGGACACCGATGCCATAGGCTCTCTATACACTCATCTTTCTGGGTCACCCACGGGACATTGCTCTTCTGTAACCAGTCCTGAATGAACTGACCTTTCATCTTATGCCATCTGCCCACAGCCTCCCACTGAAAGGTCTAAGCTGCCTTTTCACGTATGAGTTCATGCACCGCGCGTCTCCCAGAAAGGATACATGCTTACTGTAGAAAAATTAGAAAATACAGCTAAACCAGGAACACAGAATAAATTTTTAAAAATATACTCCATCATCCTGAAATAACCACTGTTATTTATTTACGCCTATAATTCCACTTGATATTTATACTGTAGATCACAAAATGGCTTCCTCCAGTTGAATCCAACCTACACATGTTTTAAATAATTTTGTTTTGAATAATCTGGGTCAAGATATTCACTGTTCACTCTGCCACACTCCCCACCACTCCTTATTTTAGTATGCCAACCCCATCTTACTCAGGTGTGCCTTATTTCCAAGGGCATCTGAGTTTGCAAAGCCTGCAAAATATACATATGAAGGGATTTTTATGAAAGTGGAATCCAGCGGCATATTCCAGTTGGGAACACCTTCTTGTGAAACAATGCACAGCGAACACCTTTCTGTATCAATAAGTAGTCACCTCCAACTTTATTTTTAGTGGCTGGATAGTTTTCCACGGGAAAGATGTGTCACCAGTGCCTCAGCTAACCCCTGCTGGTGAACATTTAAATTGTTTTCCATTTTTCCCGCTCCAGTGAACATCCCCATCGCTAGAACTTTGCACGCTTCCTTCATCGGTTCTTTAGGATAAATTCCCAGAAGTAGAACTGCCGGGTTGAAGGGCGGTCTCAGTCCTAGAAGCTTTTAACACGTGCTGCCAGGTGGAGTGTTCAGAGTTTTACGACACGGGCTCTTGAGAGCTTCCTGTGACTGCTGTCAGGACGGGCCCCTCCGCACATTAACAGCATCCCACAGAACAAGCCGATCACCCCTCTCCCAGGGCTTTCTAAAGTCAACTCACCCAACAGGGGGGCTTTTCTCCAGTAACCATCCCGGACCTCCACATAGTCATACCAGCACAGGCGGCTTTTAAACAAATCCATGGAGGTGAAGGTTAGGACGATCTGTAAAGAGTTACCGGAAAAGTGAGTTGTGGCCGTGGAGCCCGAGGAGTTTTGAAGATACATCTTGCATGCCAGTGTTCTCACATTACCCGTTAGCATACAGCGCTCTGAGACCACAGTAGGAGTGTCCTCACAAGGACACACAGGAAACCTTGTGACATTAAATAATAAACCGTAAGCAGGATGGGGAGTAAACAGAGGAGATGGGTCCTCTGGTTCTGTCTGGGGAATAGCTTGAGCTTTTGAAGTCACTAGGTGGTTTATAGAAAACAGGATGCATTAAAAAGATGGGCCAGGATGCCTTGAGACTGGGGATTTAGAAGGAGGTAAGGGGTCAGTGAAGTTCAGAGATACGGAAAGATCTTATAGCATCATCAATCATTCCAAAGGGCCTGGGGTTAGCCTGAGTACATCTGAGCACCACTGTGAGCAGTGTCCCCTCGGCCATGACCTCACTCTCAAATAGCCTTCTTATGGTTAGTCCGTTCGTTCGTTCGTTCGTTCATTCATTCATCTCACCGTTGTTAGCTGAATACCTACTATGTGCCTGTCTGTGTTGGCCAATTGAGATAGAAAGATCAGCAAGACAGGGTTCTTGCCTTTAGGGAGCTCAGAGAGCACAGATGCGTCAGGCCAATTAGAGCACTCTTGAAACAAATGTTGAAAAGAGACGGATGGACAGAAAGGAAATTCTGTAGCCCCAAGGAGGGAGACATAAATGCTGCGTGGTGATATTGGAAAAGGCGTCTCAGAAGAAGTGGCATTTAACCTAAGGGGAATAGGGACCCAGCGGACAGAGACAGGACAGGAGGGCGTTTTGGTGAGAGGGACTGACATGAATAAAGGCAAGGAGACGTCTGGGGAATGGTACTGTACATCAGAGCAGGTTGTGGTTTGTGTGTCTGGAATGAAGAGGCAGGGGGGTGAGGAGGAGTGAAGGCCAGGGAGCTGGGGCTTCAGATGGACTAGGAAAGAGGTGTCAGCTCTTCATGGACATGGTGAGCCCATTCAGTGGATGCCCCCGTCCACAAAGAGTGGAGGGAGTTGAGTGGCCCTGTGGACTCAGCACACAGGTGCTGTTCCCACAAACCTGCCACCCTTCCAGCTTGGGGCGTCCCTGACAGATGGCCCAGAGCAGAGCTCAGGCATGCCCCCCCCTTCACCCCCATCAAGCCCCGCCATGTAGGGTGTCCGCACCATGTCTGCTGTGCTCAGAGTGTCCCTGCTCCATCATTTCTCAGCTCTTTTCGCTCACCGGGGCCCCACCCTGGCTGCTGCAGCACTGACCCTGTGCCTTAGCCCATTCGGGGCCCTCATCCTTAGCCAGTTCATCTCTCTCCCCCATCCACCGGCCACTTTCTTTTACATTTAGACAGCCCCAGGTCCCTCTGTCTCTAAGCAAACCCCCTAGGCTGGAGGGCTGCAGGTCAAAGGTTCCGGTGCCCTCCCAGCCAAATTGAAAGGACTGTTATTTATGGGCTCTGTTCTCCGTGGCCCCTCTGCTTTGAACCTCCTCTCTCTGGGTTTCACCACACCTGCCCTCTCTCCGCTCTCTGGCCTCAGCTGGCTCCTGTCCTCCCTGCTCCCCAGGGACGGTGAGAGCACCTCAAAATGGCATTTCCCTTCCAGCTTCCCTGTCCCTAAGTGGCACCGGTCAGCCAGGTGCAACCCTTTGCGCTTATCTCCACTTCGCCCTATTGTTTACCCCCTATGCCCACAGACGTTCTTCCCTTAACTTGTCTGTGTCCCCTGCTGCAAGCCAGTCTCACTGCCCCTTCAACACCGCTGCCTGTGTTGTACCTGCGGAGAGGATTCCTGAACTCCTCCCTGCCGTGCCCTGAGCCATTCTTCACAGTAGGGCTTCTAGATCCATCCTGCACTGGCATCTCATATTTATTAAACCTCTCCTACTCTCAGAAAACTTCAGTAGCTCCCCATGCCCTCATCTCATAAATTAACCTCTCTGCTTACCTTCCAGAGACCCCAGAGTCCATCCTATGGGACCTCATTTCCCAATGTGCATTGGCATATCCATGCTAATGGAACCTTCCCCAGGCCCAGCTCAGGGCTTTCTGCCTCCTCCCGGAGTCCCTCTCTGACTGCCAAAATGGACATGGCCTTTCCCTCCTTGGGACTCCCCCCTCTCCCTTTCATAGTGACTGCAGGGCAGGTGTTTTTAGAATCAGGAAGATCTGGATACCTCAGCTCTATCGCTCACTAGCTCTGGGATCTTGGGAAAATACTTGCCCATTTAGATCTTTAGTTTCCTTATCTGCGAAACAACGTGCACACCATTGGTTACCGAGGGGGCTGCATGAGAAACTGTATACTGAGTGTATAATGAGGTCTGGCACATAATAGGCACTCAATAAAGGCACTTTTAAAGAATCAGGCCTTACTGAGTGTATACTTAGTGCACCACAAACCAGACACACTAAGTGCTCTTCACAGGCTGCCTGTCTTAATTAGCCTTGCCAGTTTCTCCCCGAGCTTCCTTTGGGCCAATCCCTCCCAATGTTCGGTTCTCAGGACAAGTAGCACCTTCTTCCACAACACCCTCTGATCTCCTATGAAATGAAGAGGCGGTACCAGAAAATAACAGGCCAGCCCACCTCCTGTATTGTACAGTGTGTGTGTGTGTGTGTGTGTGTGTGTGTGTGTGTGATGTCACTCTTCTTTCAAACTAGACCAGTGGTTCTTAACCCTGCTCATGAATTAGTACCACCTCAGAAGTTTAAAAAATACTGCCCCTTCTTCAATTAAATCAGACTCCCTAGAGGTAAGGAGGGACCTTAACTAAACTCTAAGTCTCTTGAAGACAGGGACTGTAAATTAGATTTCTTTTGTATGTCTCACAGAGTTCACGTTCAGGCAGAGGACTCAGTAATATTTACTAGCCGGTTGTAATATAATTACTTAGCTTTTTAAATTCTTCAGAAAGAAAATGTTATTACAACTTCCTTGGTAACACATTCAGGATCAAAATAAATGGGGTAATTATTCAGGTTAATTACTTTAAATATGTTAGGGAACCATAAAGACCATAGGGGAAGAGGTGATAAACAAGAGGTGATACTTGAACCAATCAAGTTTGCTAATTACTAGCAGCTCTGGGGAAGGCTGGGAGAAGCAGAAATGGAAATAATTGGTACAGGAATTTCAATGAGGTATATTCTCTCTGCCCCCCAGTTAGCAGTAATAATTAAGACTTGATGAGTCTTATGTAGTTCAAACATATCACATAGCCTCTGCTATTTAGGGAAATTCAACAATTTGGGGCTTTCTGGATCACTTCCTCCTCCTCCTCCTCCTCCTCCTTCTCATTAATGCCTCCATCAGGCACAGGAACAGAACATGCACCTGCGGAAGACAAATCTGCAGTCTCTCAGGCTCAAGATGACAACCACACTGTCCTAAATGCTTAGAGCCCAGAGGAAGAGTTGTACATGTGGGTATTGTACGTGAAAACATACACACGTGAGCATGTGTGTGTGAATGCATGTTCAAATGCCTATTAGCCTGACCCCTTTGTGGAATAGTATAGGATGATGGCTAAGCATCCAGCTTCTCACCTGGATTCAAATCCCAACTTTGCCACAAACTGAGTAGCCTTAGGCAAGTCCCTTTCCTTACCTGAAAAATTAATGTGGGAATAGTACCTATCACACGAAGTTGTGAGGATTAAAAGAGAATCCACATAATATGCTGAGAATAGAACGCAGCCCATAGAAAACATTTAAAGGGATGCTTTTTAAAGTTATGAATTAGGCATACCTGAAGATTGGCTACAAGCACCTAACAATCCATCACCCCACAACACAGCTGCAGATTTCTCACTTGGCCACCCACCCACTCACATGCCCATTCAACAAATACCTTTTGTGTGTCTATGTGCCAGGGGCTGTGTTGGGTGGCTGGAGACCTAGGGGTGAACAGTCTCTGTCCTCAATGAGTTTAGGGTCTTAGAAGGCAGACAGCCCAATAAACCAGCAGTCACGATATTGTGGAATAAGTTATGGCAGGTATGACTAGAGGGAGTTGAACAAGGGATAGAGGGGGCATCTCAAAGACAGCTGCACTTAGTCTGAGACAATCTGAAAAACCCTTGGATTTGTAGGGAGGCGTAGTAAACACACACACACACACACACACACACACACACACACACACACGTTTCAGGAATGCAGAAGCCCCAGTTCCCAGTTCTATATTTTACTGTGAATTTGGTCAATTTTTAAAAATGTCTGAGCTTTGGTCAGCTGAGTGGCTCAGTCAGTTGAATGTCCGACGCTTGATTTTGGCTCAGGTCATGATCTCATGGTCATGAGATCAAGCTCCGTGCTGAGCATGGAGCTTTCTTAAGATTCTCTCTCTCCCTTTCTTTCTCCCTCTGTGCCTCCCCTACTCACGCTCTCTCTCTCTAAACAAGAAAAATGTCTGAGCCTCAAATTCCCTATCCATATAATGGATATCAGGAGATGCATGTGTGGTAGGGTTGAGAACATACCATCCTTGGACCAGGACAAAAGAGGCCTCTGTCCTGACCCAGCTCTAGGGGAATATAGAGGGTATCATGGAATCTTCCAACCCAAATGCTTGTGCTCACTCAGAGCGTGCATAGCTCCTAGACCTAACTCCAGGTGCCCTGGATCCTGGAGTCCCCTGTCCAAATAGCTCCGAGCCCCCTTCCAGAACATCCAGAGATCTCTGCCCTGAATCCACCCTCCCGAGGGCAGATAGCACACCTAACCAGTCCACTTCTGCTGGAGGGGCAGCCAAAGAATAGCTGTTTGCAAGGTAGGAGTGCAGAATGTTCAGGAGCGTGGGCTGGAGTTTTGCCACGGCTGCTCCTGAGATGAAACCGGGGGCTGAGAAGAGAAGGAGGGGCCAGCTGTGGGTTGAGGGCTAGCTTGCCCCATATTGCTACCTTCCAGAGCAGCATTCTGAGGTGTCGAGGAACCCTACACTGGACCCTCGCCTTCCGAGGCATTCTGATGGTGTATTTACCAGGGGAGAAGGACAAGGACACAGTCTACTTTGATTTACAGACTGTGAGCTTGATTTACAACTCATGTGGACATTTAGCTTACAGGCCTCCATTTGTATGGGTGATCCTGGTTGAAAGAAAAAAATAATAAAGAATTAAGAAATAAAGAACTAAAGAATGTTAAGCAAGCTAGCACAGCACCTGGGTGCTCACAGCAGCTGCTATTACTACGGTTAATAATAGTACAATCCCCCACACCTCACACAACCCAAAGAAAGCTATGCCATTTCCTGAGGTGGTTTCACACCTACCTTTTCCCCTGGAGTGACCGATATCCTCCAGACACAGTGGGAATAAGAAGGATAGCCATTTGGGAAACCAGGTGCGGAAAAGTTTCCTGTTGTGTCCTGCAGGGTCTCCCCACACGCTGTGCAAGCAAAACAACAACTGTGATTCCGGCACACACACATTCCCCACCTAAGCAGCTCCCTGCACCAGGCCACTGAGAAAACACACGGCTTGACCAGCCAAAGCCCTCGGAACGCATTGGCGAGAAACCGGTCAGGCAGATTGATGATGTTTTCTGGCTAATAAAAGTGAAAATAGAGTCCGGGACGAGAACGTAATACCCAGGCGTTTCTTCTGAGGCTCCCAGGATATGGTGGGCAAGTTTCCCAGCTTTGCTGGGCCTTAGTTTTCTTACCTGTAAAATGGACAAGACCTGCCTAGAGGGTTAATGAAATGGCACATAGTGAGTGGTCCACACATAGCAGCCATTATATTATGACTGACAGGGGCGCCTGGGTGGCTCAGTCAGTTAAGCCTCCGACTTTGGCTCAGGTCATGATCTCATGGTCTGTGAATTTGAGCCCCGCATCGGGCTCTGTGCTGACAGCTCAGAGCCTGGAGCTTGCTTTGGATTCTGTGTCTCCCTTTTTCTCTGCTCCCCCGTGCCCCCCCCCCCACTGGCTCCTGCTCTCTCTCTCTCTCTCTCTCTCTTTCTCTCTCTCTCTCTTTCTCTCTTAAAAATAAATAATAAACATTAAAAATAAATTTTTTTTAAAGTACAAATAGGTGAAGCGACAAGAAAAAGAAAACACTTTGAAACACATTTCAGGTATTAGTTTGAATCTGGCCTCTTCTTTTTTTGCTACCTATTTCTGAACGAGCAACCAAATAAATAGTCAAGAAAACAGAAAAATGACCAGAGGTATGGGAAGCTGGGCTACTCTACAGTAGACCATCCCACCTTTGAATGTTGGAGGGTTGTCTGGTCCTAAGTCTAGAACCCAGTTCTTATGTATGTGAAAAATATTTCACCCAATTTGTCCTTAAAAAGAAAGTATCTGCAGGAGTGAGCTCGGGACCTGCGGGTTCCTTACCTCCTGCCCCCTCCTGATTCCAAACCCAAACCCCTCCTCCTACGGGGTTACCCCAAAGTGTGGAAACATATGCATCTCTTCCTACATGCAATTCACCCTCCACTCGACAACTACCCCGCCTTTCAGTTACTACTTGAAATTACTGGAAGCTGCAGTTTTGGAGCCGCAGGAAGGAATACTGGAGAGCGGCCCGTCATCAGCCTCAGGAAATCCTGGATATTGGGGCTTCGATATCATGTTACTGAACAACTGCCAGGCATCATGAGGATTATGCCCCGCAGTCAACACCCCCAAGGGTTCCATGGAAATTATTTTAGAATAATCATCAACATTCTGCAAGAATAGATGCATTACTATATGGCTCCATGGTATTTACCAGCTGCCTCCAATCCTTTTGGGAAGTAAGAGCCATATACATTATAACTAAATAAATACTATGGCATTTCCCAGGGAATGCTATAAGGTTTCTCTTTCAATTCAGCAAGGTTATATGATACGTGTGACCTGCATTTCAGCCCTAACACACCCCCAGATGACTAATAGCTGGATGGACGTATTTCTTAGAGTTTTGTGATGGACCAAACCCCACCCAGCCCTTTGCGTGCCCTGTGACCCCACTTAGCAGGGCAACGGGATAGCCTAGATTTTCTAATATGGCGCCTATTTTGAACATTCTGTCCCATGATCAGACCGTGTGTCTGGTCTGGGGCATTTGGAAAATGTTACCGGACCTGTTAGCAATGAATTTCCTTCTTCCTCCCCAAAGTGCTGAATTGAATTCTCTCCCCTCAGTGGTAAAAACCTGGCTGCTCTAACGCTTTGCACTGAAGCTCAGCAACTTAAAGGGTCAGCGTGAGCTCACTTCCAGGGCCGCAGGCTGGGGGAGGTGCTGGTGATGCTGAACCAAGGGTATGGAAGGCAAAGAGGGCAGATTCAAGAGGAGGGGCCTTGCGGATGAGCAGAGAAACAGACGTCTCCTCAGACCCTGGTATACTGTCCAATCTTTGCTGGCAGATTTCTAGCCGATGACCAGAACCCTAGGAAGCCCCCAGGACCATAGACGTAACCTCATTTACAGCACTGAGTATTTGGGAAGCTGACTCCCACCCTCCTTCATTCACTGTCTTCCTGCAAAACCCTTGGTTTTTGTTTTGCCAAACCCACATCCCCTATTCCCACAGGAAGGAGAGGAGATTTTGTAGTTACAGGGTACGCACTGCATCGGGCCCCCATTCACTGTTGTTCCACTATCCTTCTTCCTCTTCAGAATATCAGGCCTTTGCCAGAGAATTCTGAGGATTCTGACACATTAAACTGTGAGCTCCAAGACCTATTATTTGTGTCACTACTGGCAATCACCTCTGCACGTGGGCCTCCTACACTGTCTAAAACCTCCATATAGTAGATACCAGAAATTATAGCAGCCTCTCCATGTTCTCCAAGCTGTTTTTCCCAGCAAGGGGGAATGTTGGCAAAGGATGGCTGAGTCGTGCTCCGTGGGTGCAACAGAGGCCCCGGGACTCCCCGGGATTCAGTTACCTGGGCATTTGTACAGCTTCCTGGCTTGCGCTATGTCTCCCTGACTGAGCCGCACACGCTGACCAATGGTTGGCCTGACGCCATTGTCGTCTCGACGGGGGAGGATGGTGTCTAAGAAAACTCCTCTACAGGAAGAAAAGAGAAAGAGAAAGGAGAAAGAAAAGTCAAGGCTGGCTGGCTGGCCGGGCTGGAACTTACAGTCTTCATTTCCTTGCCCATAAGCCCGTTGACATCCCCAGCCTCTGGATGGCCTCTCTGTAGGCCAGTATGACTGAAGACGTTGCTTCACTCGTCCTGGCATGTGGGTATTCCATTTCATGAGCGGCTTACTCACTTTCCAATGGGAAAATGACTCTGCTAAGCTTGCCAGTCTGCCCTAGTCCACTGGCTTAGGGGCTTCCTTACCGACATGTACTGTGCATTTCCACAAAACCCCTGACAGGTCCAGGTCCTGGGGCTGCCACATCCTACAACTTCAGGGAGCACCATTCAGAGAGATCAAGGTGTGAGTGGCGCCCCCTGGAGTTGTGCAACAGGCACTACTGAGCATGGATAAGTCTTGGAGGGGCCCCACAGGGAGCCTGGGGACCAGCACAGAGTGAGGCTCTCAGGGGCTGGTCAGTAAGTGCTGCTTGACGGGCTGGTGAATAATGGGAATCAGAGTTTGGGGGCCTTTCTGGCAAAGGGGATAATCAGATGGAAAGTGAGATGAATGTAGAGAACAAAGTTGAGAGAGTCCTAGTCTAGAAGTTTCTATGTAAGGCCTGGATCCACCACCTGGGTGAGCTTAGACAAGCCCCTTCCCCTCTCTGAGCTTCAGTTGACTCCTCTAACAGTAAGAGAGTGGCCTAGACAGTCACAGCAGCCCTTTCCAGCTCTAAGCATCCTATTCTACTCCCACGTGAAGGAAGTCTAAAATGACCAAGTCAGGATGCCCGGCTGGGTACTGGCCCTATTTACATCTCCATGATGTGGGTGTGGTTGACCCCTTCCTGAGCCTCCTTCTCTGCTTCCAGACCCCCAATGAGGGACCCCTCCTGGAAGGTAGGGTCTCCCTTCAAATCAGCTCCTTCTCCAGTTACCAGTTTCTTCCCTCCCTTTTAACCAGGTTTCTGGAAACAGTGGATCCCATTCTCTGTCTAGCTGCCCACATACCATTCACTTTTCAATGCAATTGCAATCAGACTGCACCAGCAACGGTCAGTGGTCACCCACTAACTGACAACTCAGATGGACACCTGTCAACCGCCACCTGCCCTCTCTTACAGCACTGCCACTTTTCTGCTCCTTCCTTCCTCAGACTCTCTTCCCCTGGTGTCCAGGGCACCACTGTCTCTGCGCGGCAAGTTAGCATCCACGTCTGCTCCCCACTCCATGCTTTCCCTTGGGAATCTGCCCTCTTCCTCTCTCCCGTCTCCTGCTCCACCTGCAACTCTGGGCTTTAGCTGATGCCAATAGACTCACAGAGAATTCTCTGATTCTGACCCCAGAACCATCTGCTAAGCCCCAGATGCCTGGCGACCCCTCCACTACACTGTCATGTGGGTCTCATATCCATGTTCGTTCCATGACTCTTGTCTCCCAAGAGTGAATCTGAAGGCACCGTGGCACCTTCTATCGTGCCTTGAATCTATGCCTTCCTCCTCATTCCAGAACACTGCCTTAGCTCAGGCAAACAGCATCCCCTTTCTGCATTCTTCCATAGCTTCTTACCTGGTCTCCCTCCCTGTAGACTCAGTCAGCTCTATGTTGCACCCACAACAGTGCAACGTGATTGTCCGGAAATGCAAGGGCAGCCTTGAGTCCTCTCCACTTAGAAGCCTCCACTGATGTCTGATCACCACCTGGATCCCCAGGCCCTTGGCTCACTGGCCTCTGCCTTCCTCTTCAGGCACTTCTCCTGATACCTCCACCCCACTTGGTAGCTTAAGCAACACCGAATCTCTGATAGCCCCAAACATGCCCTTACGCAGGCTGTCCTCTGTGGAGGCTGCCCACTGCCCATCTTCTTGTCCACTAGCAAACTCCTGTTCATTCACCAAAACCCCATCAGATGGCTTTCCCTCTTAAAAGTCTTCTCGAGCCCTTTTTATCCCTCCTTATCCTGAGTTATTCATTCCCTCCTCTGGGCTACCTCTTGGCCTTATTTGTCTAGTCTCTTCTTATCATACTGTATTGTCTTTTTTGAAGGGTGAAGATATTTGTCATCTCTGCTAAATAGTAAGTTCCTCAAGCAGAGAGACTGAGACTTTCATCTTTATGCCCTTAGGGACTGGAGCACAACAGGTCAAGAAATAATTTTTGAATTAAATTATGTAACCAAGGTAGGGCAGTGTCTTCAAAAAATTTTGCAAAGTAATTTACACCCAAGGGAAATGCGACAATGCATGTTACCTAGTTATTAGCTGCACTGTCCCTTCTCTTCCCTCTCACTTTCTCTCTAAAACATTTCCTTTCCCCTCAATTCTGCACTACTTTGGAAAATATATATTATTCTTATATCTTGCTGGTGGCATGTCTTATTATCTTTCTGGTTTTGCATATATGTTTTCTAAATCAGACTTCAAACCCACTTTCTTTCCAACATAAGCAAGCAAGAGCCTAGATCATCTGCCGATTTCCTTTTAAGTATCCCCATCCCCAACCTTTAACCACCTGGCCTGTCTTTCTTGATTTCCCATTGCCTTATCTCTGGGTCCAGAGCCTTCTAGAGAAACTTTAGGGGAATCCTCATTTTCCCTCACTGACTTTGCCAAGTTTTAAACTACAAGTAATGACTCTACATAAAATTCTAAATCCAATCACCTACTAGATCTAAAAGAGGGCACTTCTGCCCTATAATAAAATGGGTCCATTTGTAATTTTTTTCTTGATTCCCCTGAAGGAAAGAAATTTTCCTGCACAAAATGCAAAGCTCACCACCATCTCTTAGCAACCCAGGCCAACCAATCTTGCTGAAGACCACAGCATATAAGTGACTCTTACAGTGTGGAGAACGTGTGCTCCCACTGAGCGTTCACAGGACCTTCTTATGTGCCAGGACCAGGCCTGAGCACTTTACATGCACCATCTCGTTTAGTCCTTGTAACACCCTAGGCCAGTGCAATTATTAGGGTCTCCTCCCCACCGGTGAGAAAAAGCCTGCAGAGCTTAAGTGATTCTCCCAGAGTACAGAGCTAGTAATGGAGAGCCAGCCCTGGAACCCAGGCAGGCCAGAAGCCCATCTCCCGGCATCCTCCTCCTTCCAGCCAGTGTTCTCACTGCCCAAGGAACAATAGGCTTTAATGTGTGCTAGATAAATGATAGAGTTAGGAATGTGAGAGACTTCAAAAACTGAAACAGCAGGAACAACATCAGCCCACACTCAGATAGCTCTTTGGGGCTGGGACGCCCTCCTTGACATGTCCCTGAGCTGCCAGCAAGACGGAAGGCTCTGGAAAATATTTACTACAAGAGGCATCCCCCGCATGAACCGCTGCAGTGACATCCCTCTTTTATGTAGGACAACTCTTAGCCCTGACACTCTGCTAAACTAAGAAAGGGTTTGGCAGATGCTTTAGGGAATAAAGCTGTCAGCTCTGAGCTCTCCAAAGATGCCCCTGTACCACAGATCTCTCTCCCCAGCTCCTAGACCCTTGCCCAACGAAACCTCCAAACACATCACTCTCCACAGCCGAGGTCCAACCAAGGGGGAGAGGGAGGGACTGCAATAAACCAGAAAATAAAGTTGGAAGGAGTCAGATCAATTGTAAAGATACACAAAGATTGGGTTTCCCATCAGCTGGAAGAGTAGTTGCCTCCAGATGAGCAAATGTTCTATAAGTCATTTCCTGCTCTTTTTCAAACTCAAAGACGATGCACAGGCTGGCTCCAGGGGATATGTGGCCAGGAGTAATGATGTGGATTTAAGGACTGGGAAACTTGACGAAAAGTGGGCCAGGAAAGACCATTAGTAAGGATGCCACTGTTAAATGTCCCACTGAACAAAGTAGTTTCCTGAAAATCCATGCAGAAAGTTGGCAGAAAAGACAATGAAGGTATCCACTTGCTACAAAATAGCTTTGCCAACATCGTTGTGAACCCTGGGGCAGGGGTGAGAAGATAGCTGTGGTAGCTTGTTAAAATAATGGGAGGCACCTCCTAATGTACATAGCCTTCACCTTGTACCTTGCTCCGACCATTGAAATGTGACAGAAGTGATGTCCTGCAAGTTCTAGAGCCTGGGTCTTAAGAGTCTTGTGGCCTCCCAGCTTGTCTTTTAGGAGCTCTGAGTTCCAGTGCAGTGAGGAGCCCTGTCCAGCCTGCCAGAAGTTGAAAGGCCACAGGGAGGAAAACCGGGGGGGCCCCAGTGCACAGGCAGCACAATGGCCAGACATGGCACTGGCCATCCTGGACTTCTCAGCCCAGTCACTTTGTCAAATGACTACTGCTGTGGAAATGATCCCAGGCAAAACCAGAGAAGAATGAGCCAGAGTGACCCACAATGTCACAAAAAATAAGTTGCTGTTATAAACCGTGACATTTGGGGGTAGACTCTTCTGAGGCAATAGATGACATCATGGTAGCAGAAGGAGAAGTCTGCCTCCCTTCCAAGCCTTCATGGGAGCTGCTGTGCTTCTACCTAGCCGCCCATCACACCCATGTGCTGCCCCTCGCCAATCTCCCTCTGAGGGCTTCTGGGTACTCTTGGTGGGGAACTATCATTTCATGGGTTTGGTCCATGGGCTTCTCCTGGTCAGTGCTGATAAACTGCTCCACAATGACAACAGTGTTGTTAATGGTTATCTCTTTGAGGGGTGACAGGGATGGCATTATGAGCTAGAGATCACAGGAAAAAAAAAAGATTTTTCTTAAAAGAAAAACAAGAAAAGAAATGCTGGTCCCAGAAGACACTGCATTCTTGCCTTGGTCTTTGGTTTCAGAGCTTTTCCTAATAACTGGCACATGGCAGGCACCAATGAGACAGTGCAGTTCCTATAGCCCATTGGAAGTAATTCATCCCCAACCCCCCCTGAACAGGAGACGCCTGTAGATTCTCCTTATGAAGTGACCACCACATTTGTGGATATGTGGACAGAAATGCAATGACGATAATGGAAATTTCTTCCCTCACCGAGTCCAGCATTTCAGATCTCCCTGTCTCCTTTGATCCACCCATTAATTTTTTCATTTAAGAAATATTTATTGAATATCTACTCTGTGCTAGGCTCCGTGGTAGGTGCTGGAGACGAGAGAAGAGGATGCCCTCAAAGATCTCAGTCTAGTGAGCCAGAGGGGGATGTAACAGGTACATAGGATTCGATTAATTTATAAGAATAATTAATAGACAACTTATAAAGCAATATGAAGAGTCATGACAGCTATGGAAACAAGACCCAAAGTACAACCTTCTCACTTGGGCCAACTTGACAGTGATTCTCTACAAAATCAATACTTTGTCTCTACTCAGCAGCCTGCCATCTCTGGGGCTGATGTAATGTGGCCCAGATTTTCCTACACCATTTCCCAAACCCTCAAGGCAGCACAGCCCCCACACCCAAGCATCCCTGCTCTGACCTTTCATGGTGGGCTGTCATCATGCCCACCCATTGTCTCTTCGACTCCCCCAACAAACCCCCAGAGTAGGTCCTTCGAAGTCTCCTTTCTCAACATGGAAGAGGAAGCCTCAAATGTCCACATGGCAATGAATGCAAACATCTGTCAGTGCCTTGCCCACCTGCGCTGATTAAGAAATTACAACAGGAAATGTTTGAGCTGGAAGGGGCTCAAAGAACATTTAGTCCAACCCTCCTATGAGGAAACCGATGCCCAAGGACGTGGATAGTTGACCCAGCACAAAGCTATCCCTAACTACTGTCTATACCTCCCTCAATAGCACGGTGCATGAGAGCACGAGGCCTGGAACCCAGTCTTTGACTCTCAGTCCAGTGCTCTCTTCATTACATGGTGCACCTCATATCCTCTGCCAAGGAGCCAGGAGAAGAGTAATGAAAACAGGGTCAGTCACTCCCATGCCAGTTGTTCAAAGATGCTGACGTTGACAAAACTCCACCTATTAGAGCTCTGGAGAGATTCCCCCTGGGTGCAGGATGGTGACCATAACTAAATCAGCTGTGTGGCCAGAGGGACAGCACCACCTTCCCGCTACAACTGGGAACATGGGATGCTGAGGTTTGGATACTCTTTCCCACAATTCCATGACCTCATCAACAGCATGCTTTCAGCAGGCTTACCCAAGAGCCAATGAGCCCTGGGTACACTCCCAAGAGCTGTGTGTCTCCTGAAGGAATGGTTTCTTTTGATCTTTATGGACATGGCAACTCATGAAATGGATTGTTTCCTTCCTTGCAATAACTGCTAAGAAGCACAGGGCAGGATTTGCTGCCAGTCTGACCAAAGTGTGCATGACCTTCTGGCATATATTCTGAACAGGCAATTGATTCCAAGCTTCCATGCAGCTATCTACCCTTATTTTCCCCTCCCCCATCCTCAAGTTTCCTCATTTACTTGCTTCTTGTCCTGTGTACGTGCTGGAAACCCAATCGAACCTTTTGTTTTTGAGTAATTAAATAGATAAATAGAAAGCAAACAAGCTGGTTTTAAGACGAAACTGAGAAAAAAGTGGCAAGTGAGAGAACATATGCCTTGTATCTCCTCTAACTCAAGAGTGGAAACACCCACAAAACTGGGATTAGTTGGGGGACACTTCTATATACACAACACGCATATGGTCTAGAAGCAAGGGAAATATTGGAAATACTTCACACCCAGTCCAGCACAGCAATAACTCATCAAAACAGATCCTACCAATGCCGGCTGTAAATCACTGGCCCCAGCTATACTTGGGTACACCAGCTCCCATCAAGTGTGACCAGCAGGCAGGAAACCTGGACCTTTGTTCTCACTCTGACCCCAGCTACCTGTGTGCCCTCGAGCTGGCTGGAGCCTCATTTTCTTCACCTCTAAAATGAATCCACGATTTACAACTCCCCCAGCTCTCATATGGTCTAGCTTTCAATAAACCACACCTCTTTAAGGGAACTGGTTAGCACCACCAGGCTTACATCAAGGACGTGCTTTGGAAGACTCGCCCACCCACTGGAAATTTTACACAGAGCCCCTAAGTTATTATCCCGGCCAACCTCTAGATAATTTCCCCTTTCCAGTTTGCTGCTTGTGACATTAGGGCATGATGGAACACCAGCTTCACAATGGGATTCAATCTTATTAGCGGGAACCTGATTAGATTATATTTCACTGCAGCCCAGAGGCCACTGTATTTCAAGGACAGACAGGCCAACTGTGCTAAGAGCATGCAGAGACCCACTCTCTGCAGACCTCCAGGAATCCGACCCGAGCCTGCGGCAGGCACAGTAAAACACAGATGAGGCATAAGCATAGATTCCGACCTTGAGAAGGTGTTCCGGGCGTAGTGCATGATGCTGTCAAAGTCGTACGTTTCTCCCAGAGAGCTCACTTCCCCAGCTTCCATTTTTAAGAAATTATACTCCTGACCTGTGACACAACACTCTGTTAAGGCCTTTGAAAACCAAGGCAGGTACCTGAAAGGAGGCAGAGGGGGGAGAAGGAGGGCCCATAGCAACTTCTGAGAGCTCTGTTAGCCCAAATAACAGGGTTGTGGTCGTTCTCATTGTTTTTAACAGACTGGAAATTTGAAACTTCAAACAGCCCTGTTCTTCCAACCCACCACCCAACCCCTCCCCAAGTGCCCCTGGAAACTCTTATACTAAGTTTGTAGGCAGGTTCGATTATTAATCTGATCGTTCAAAAACTTAGAAAAAAAAATCTCTGATCTTGCTACTGAAGAACAAAAGAAAAATCAAAGAGTTAAGTTCAATCCCAAATAGTTCACAATTCAGACCTTGAAAGCATTTTAAGGCAAACATATTATTCAACCAGCTACTTTCATGTTCAACATAGACTTCTATATAAAATTATTTAATATAAGAAGTGGGGTGTTTTCTTTGTTTTTTTTTTTGTTTTGTTTTGTTTTGTTTTTAGTCTAGACACGCCTTGGGGCAGAACATTTCCAGGCCAAAATACTACTTTTACATGTATTTGTGTCCTAATTGTATTTCAGTTTCAAAAGGATGTGTTGCTGAAGTCAGCAAAAGTGACTCTTATAAAAGCAACCAGGAGAACTCTTTTTTTTTTTTTGGCTTCTCAGCCTTGATCCTGCAACAGTTACTCTGGTCCATTCTGTCCCTTTTAGGAAATGGAGTTGGATTTCATTGTCCTTTTACAACATGAAAAGTCATTTCGTTTCTGCTGTAACCTACAAGCTATGGCAGATGACCTCCCAGGAAGGGCCACAAATAACAGTGGCAGTGCTAGCAACAAATGTCTGCACAGTAGGGCTGCTGCCTCCTTACTTAACAAATGAGCATTCGTCGGGTCCCTGAAACCCCTCTCCTTTAACCCTGCCTGACCCAGGGGATGCCACCTTCCTGGCCAGTGGCTTCCAGACTCGGTACTGGCTCCTTACCTGGCTGGATGTTCTCTCTGATGATGGTGACATGCTGGTCTCTGTCGGGCCGAGTGTGTTCATGCCAGAACCCAACCACATGGCCCAACTCATGTGCCACGATGCCAAACTTGTCACAGTTTTTCCCAATGGATATGGCCTGAGGGCCTCCTCCTCGACGCCCAACATAGGAACAACAGCTGGACAGTGGCAGAAATACCCAGGTCAGCCGCTCAGAGAATAGGAAGAGTCTAATGCCCTTCCCCATGTGTGTGATTGTGTGTGTGCGTGCACGTGTGTGTGTGCACGCACACACATGCACGCACGCGCACACACACGCTAATCTAAAAGAAACAGATATTCAGAGCTGAAAGCACGTTCATTGTCCAAGTTACCTCCCAATACAGAAATTCCCTCCAAAAATTGTTCTCCTTTTTGGTGGTCACGGATCCACTTGAGAACCCAAAGAAGATAAGGCTTCTCTTCCTGGAATAAAGACCATACCCTCCCCAACCCTGCACCCCCAAGTCTCTCCTGAATCATCTCTGATGACGAGGAAAGGAGTCAGCTGAGTTTCTGTAAAGCATGGTACCCTTATCAGAGAAGCCTAAGAAATGACTCCCCTTCTGGGCAAAATTGCTTTTTCAAGTAACATTTATTCCTAACATATTATTATATATTATTCCTAATATAGAAAGGTATAAGAAAAGAAATAAACATGGCCCACAACCCCACCACCTCTATCACCCAGCTAACGTCTATCAAACATTAAAAGAAATATGTGTTCTGGGGCGCCCGGGTGGCTCAGTCAGTTAAGTGTCTGACTTGATTTAGGCAAAGGTCATGATCTCATGGTTCGTGGGTTCGAGCCCCACATTGGTCTCTAGGCTGACAGTGAGGAGCCTGCTTGGGATTCTGTCTCTCCCTTTCTCTCTGCCCCTACCCTGCTTGTGTGCTCTGTCTCTCTAAAAAGTAAATAAACATTTTTTAGAAGTATGTGTTCAAAAGAGTCAAGTATTAAGCCTCTCACCCCCATCTCTAATCTCTTCATCCAAAGATAACCATTGTTAACAGTTTCTTGGATATCCTTCAGGAAAATTAGACACGTATACTTTTTATTATAAAATGCACTATGTACATCATCCTTAATTTTTACCTTTTTTCCTCCTTAATGTAGAGATCTTTTTATAACAATGCATACAGACTTCCTTCATTCTTTTCAAAGCAACAAAGTACTAAATTTTCCTTAATCTGACTCCTATTAATGTACATTTGGGCTGATTCCAATTTTTATTAGTTAAAGCCTTATGGGAGAGGAAGACAAAACAAACAAATAACAACAAGCAAGACAAATAAATGGTTGGACTCCTGTTTGTAGCATTGGGATTGAGAGATAAACGGGTTCATACATTTGAGATTTGATAGATACTATCAAATTGCAATCCCCAAATGTTGGGTCTACTTATATGCCCACTAATGATATATTTAAAAGCCCTATTTCCATGCAACCTGGCCAACACTGGCTTTACCAGATTCTTTTTGTCAGTTGGATAGGTGAAAAATGGTATTTCAGTGTATCGAGATTGGATAGTTTTCCATGTTTTCTATGACATTTGTATTTTTTTTCTTGTGAGCTATGTGATCACCTCTTTTCCCCATCTTCTTTTGGGCTGTCCATCTTTTTACAAATGATATATAAGGACCCTTTGTGAATTAAGGAAACAAGTCTTTTGATTGTCAAATGTATTGCAGATATTTTTCTCACTTTGTTTCTCAGTTTGCTTTTTTGTTTATGTATTGTCTTGGTTTTGTCTACACCACATATAATTTTTAAATTTCAATGTATGGAATGTCTTCACTTTCCTACATCCTGCTGGGAAAGGCCATCTACCTGCCAGGATCGTCAATAAAATCCATTCTTGCTTCTCTCATAATAAAATAATAAAATTTTCAAAATAATTTTTAAATCTCTTTTCATTTCTTTATTTTTCCTTTTAAAAATGTTTACTATATTTGATCCGGCTAGAATCATTTTGATGTAAGAAGTGAGGTAGGAATCCAGCTTTATTTTTTTCACAACAAGCTGTCTATCTCAGTATTAAAATATCCCAAATGACTAATCCAGCTCTCACTCATTTAAGATGCTACCTAAATTCATGTATAGGCATATGCACTTTAAACTCTTTTGTTCTGTTCCAAATGGTTTTAATTATTACTAACTTCATTTGTATTTTACATCCTAGATGTTTGAACAGACCATCAGACCACTCCCCATAATCCCCTCCATACCTCCATCCCCCTGTCCCTGTGTCCTTTCTCTCTCTCTCTACGCCTCTCTCTATATATCCCTCTATTTTTCTCTTTCTTCTTATTCTCTCTCTCTCTCTCTCTCTCTATATATATATATATATATATCCCTCTCTCTGCCTCAGTCTCTCTCTCCCTCTCTCTGTCTCTGTCTCTCTCCTTCTCTGTTGGTTATTTCTACATGGTTGTTCCTCCAGATAAACTCTAGTGCCATTTATTTAAGTTGTTGAAATATATATACACATATGCCCACATATACATAAATGTAGATATCTGAATCCAAATGGCATGCTTTTATAGGTTATTTTAGGGAGTTCTGCATCTTTACAATGTTGAATATTCCCATACCAGGAAGTGGTATGCATTTCCATTTTTACTTTTTTTTTAAGTGTCCTTAGAGTTTTAGCATTTTCTTCTTACAGGTCTGGAGCATTCTTGCATTTTTATTAGGTTTATTCTTAGAGATATTATTTATTATGTCTCTATTAAAGTGATATTTTTCCTATTACAGAAGTGTATCAGATTGTTTCATTATAAGGAAAAGTAATTTTTTGTTTACTACTTTTGTATTGAGTCACCTTAATAGGGTCTCCTTTTGTTTCTAGTAGTTTCTCAATTGCTTTTCTGGGTTTTTAGACACGGTCATATTAACTTCAAACAATGCAAACATTGCCTTGTTCCTGCCAATACTTGTCATATGTATTTCCCTCTCTTATTTAACTATATTAGCTAGTATTTCCCAAAATATGTAGAATAATTATGGTGATCATGAACACCTTTGCCTTGTTCCTGATTCTAACAGAAATGCTTCTAGAATTATCAGTTTAATTCAATGTGGGCTCTTGGGATACACACACACACACGCGCGCGCACACACACACACACACACACACAGAGGTTTAGCCATAGCTCTTTAATTTAGAATTGCAGGGCTTTTATTATCTCGACATCTTATAATATCAATCCTGAATTCTTTATGATCTAAGAGTTGTAAACAAAAAATAGAGCTTTTCATTTACTAGGTAATGCAGGCGTGTTCATTCTACTTTTTGTTATTATGTCTAGTTTCATTGCTTTGTAATCAGAGCCTATTTTAACGCTGTTTCTGCCTTTGAGAACTCATTGAGGTGTTCTTAATGCTTAATAGATGGACAATGTCTATAAATGTTCAACATGCACTTACAAAGAAAAGATGTGTTATCAGATTGCCGAATCTGATAGACCCATAGGATCAACTCTTAATTACATTTTTCCAATCCTCAACAGATCTCTACTTATTTTTTGGTCAACTTGACATTGATCTACTTGAGTTGACAGAAATGAAATAAAGTCGCCTGCTGCTGGTGTTTCTGTCAATTTCCCCTTGAATTCCCTGGGGCTTGCTTTATGACTCTTAATGCTATGCTATTTGGTGCATAAAGATTTATGACAGTTATATTCTCACTGTAGCTTGTACTCTTTCTCATTATAAAGTGCCTCACCTTTTTTTTTTAAACACTTTCTGACTTTAAAAACAAAACAAAACAGGAATGAAACAAAAAAGGCCTTGTCTATAACTAAAATTATGATCCCAACGTTCTTTTTGTTAGCATTTGCCTGTATGCCTTCTTTCCTTTTACATGTAAACCTTTCTGGGTCATTTTTCCAGTAGTCATTTCATGCATACGCCATGTAGTTGGGTTTAAGTATTTGAACCAGAACGGGGAACTTTTTCTTCCAGTGAGAGAGTATATCACACTTACATTTATTGGCATAACAGATAAGTTTAATCAAAATCCAGGCATCTTATTGTGTGTTGTTTTCTGGAGGAAGTCTGTAAGCCCACGGAGCCCATAAAATTACCCACAGAGTTTTGCATAAATGCATATCTGTCATGAGGAAGCCCATAGCTTCATCAGGTTCTCAGTAGGACTGCTGACCTCAAATTGGTTCAGAACCACTGCTCCATACAAAACATTCCCAATTCCTTCGATTGCTCCCATGACAGGAGATCCAGACCCCTTGTCTTCCTAGAGTCTTCTTCGTGACCCACCTACTTTGTCACCAGATTGTGAGTTCATTGATGGCAAGGGGAATTTCTGACAAACCCTAGATTGCTACTTATTACAGCTCCTTGGAACGATTTGGTTGTACAGAGAAAACTCAAGACTCACAAGCCATCTGTCTGCCTCTGATTCCTCTGAGACGGCCTTGCTTTCACTTACTTACCCGCACGTTCTGTAACTGAACACAATAAAGCTCTCTTCATCAGTCCTTTCTATGAAGGTCACACAGGTGTGCTTCTCCCAGTGTCTCATAGCCTGCTTAAAAATGGCTCTCTGGCTTCCTGAAATGACAGGGCAAAGCTCATCACTTCACTGATAGGTCCGTGCCTTCCTTCGATGCTGTAAGGCGTGCTGACTTATAACACTCATTCCAATGATCAAAAGAACTTGTTGGGGTGACCCAAGATAGAAACGCACTAGGAATAAGGATTGCCCTTGCTAAGGATATAACTTTCCTGAATCACCAGAACTCAGTAAGGGCTTGTGGATTGGAAAAGAGAGTAAAAATAGATGGTCAGAATATCCCAAGCTCCCCAACTTGTCCTGTGAAGGGAAAGTACTTAATTAAGCTTTAGAAAAATCTTACTCGGGTTATTCAATTTGGAAATTTTAGGCTTTTGAAGGAGCTCACCAGTACTGCATTCTGCAGCCTCTTTTTATTTTATATCTATAGGAGTGTATGTCCATATGCTCTAAAAAGTTTATTTTCATGTACATTCATGCTACTTTTGCATGGGCGTGCACTGTCTTCTGGTGGATCCTTGCGCCTCATTTTCTACAAAGCCTTTGAAAACAGATGGATTTCGTACTTTCTCTGAACATGTCCTCATAGTTCCTTGAACGGAAATGTGTTGAAAAGTAGAACAATAAGTAAATTGTCTGGGAGCAACAACAAAGTAGCTGTAAACTGTGGCTGATAGTTACTTGCAGTCGGTAAGTATTCTTTTTAAAAAATCTATCAGCCTGAGATAAAGAAGACTATTTTGATTTTGCTAGAAATAATGAGAAGGATCTAGAAAAAAATAGTGGTTTGGGGAGTACAAATGATGATTAGGGGTGGGTTCTGAGTTCTAGAGTGACCTTGTTGCCAAAAGCAAACAAACAAAGCACTGGGGAGGCTCCCGTCATAGCCTGGAAGACATGGGGGTGGGGGTCAAATTGTTGTCCCCAAAAGCACACATATAGAATAAAGAGTCACCTAGCTGTCCATTTTTTTTTTTTTTACATCTTGACACTTTTAGTTCAAATTGTTTATATAGCTCACTCACCAAAATAGCAATCCCACTAATTACAGAATAACAAAAACCACCACATAAAGAAAATTCTCTCTATAAAATTAGCTGATTTTGATGAAGGTTATATACATCTTTGGTCAGAAAAGCACACCAGCTCTGAAAGAACACAGGTAAGCACCAGAGACCAAAGGTGAGTAGCTGGTCAAAATTCCAACATTCAAATCCATTAGACACGCTCCTTTTCTCCCAGTAGGACTGGGAGCTCCTGGAGGTGAAGTCTTGGCCTTTTTATCACCAGCACCTACTTAAGTATCAGGCAAGCATCCTGGGTTACTGTCTCATGAGTGACGCTGCCAGGAGAGAGGAGGGGTGGCCCGGAGGCACTCCGTGCTCTCCGCCAGCTCCCAGGTCCCTGTCATCCACGTCTTCACAGTGCCTTTACCCATCAGTGGTTTTCAGTGGCTCTGGGACAGCTGCCTCATCAACAGCCTCCCCCAGAAGCCACAGAACCGCAGAAAGGAGGCTGACTTGTAGGTGCTGGCAGAATTGAGAGCCTGGAAGAGGCAGCTCCGTGTGGCTTTCCACTCAGGCATTTGACTAATACTGGCCACAGGCCTGCTATGGGCATAACTGTTGAATGTCTACTACTGTTCTGTTCTAGGTGTTGCAGATATAGGAATGAAAGCAAGACAAAAAAAAAAAAAAAAAAAAAAAAAAAAAAAAAAAAAAAAAAGATCCCTGCTCCCACAACGATTGGGCAGAGACAAAAAACAGGCAAACAAAATAAAAGTCAAAGCATTTCAGGTAGTGGGAAGTACTACAAAGACTAGAAAGTGGGGTGCTGAGAGTGAGTGGCTCGTGGGAGTGTTGGGGGTATCAGGGAGGCAAAGAAGGCTTTTGGGGGGACATGCCATCTGATTTGAGGTGCTGGTGATAAGAAGAAACCATGAGAAGGTCTGGGGAAAGAATGTTCTAGGCAAACAGGGCAAGTGCAGGTGTGCTAGGACAGCCATGAAATGGGCATGTTCCAGAAAGGAAAGGTGCCTGTGAGGCCAGCACACAGGAACTGGGGAGAAGAGAGGAGGAACAGGGTAGGACACCGGGTGGGACAGGGGGCAAGGGCTGCCTGGAGGAGGGCCTTGGAGGCCATGGTCAAGAGTTTCAGCTTCATTTGTAGTGATGGGAAGCCACTGGCTGACATACATATTTTAAAGATAATGATACCAATAGCAAATATTACTATGTGCCAGGCACTATTCTAAGTGCTTTATCTAAATTAACTCATTTAATTCTCAAAACAACCCTATGGATTAGAAAATATTATCATCCCCATTTGCATAAGAGGGGACTGAGGCATGGAGGGGTTAAGTAACTTGCCCCAGGGTGTACTGTTGGCAGGTGCCACAGCCCAGCCAGGGTTGGCCACTCTGGTTACCGTGTGGAGTGCTGCAGGGGTGGGGGGTGGTCCCGACTTCTCATCCAGGCAGAACACAGGTAAGCCTTCCTGTGCAGCCGCTCACAGCTTCCTTCTGTCTGGAGGGCTTTGCTCACATACCCATTATGCAACCTCTGCCTATATTTCAAGACCAGGGCCCTATGTCATGCCCTGCACGAAGCCTTGGGGACTAGGTGATCACCTTTGAAGACACAGCCCTACCAGAGAGTGCAGCTTCCCCAGGCTTAGTGCACAATGGAGCATTAGCAGGTAGGACTGCTATGGTCCCAGCATCTGCTCCATTCCACCTGGACTCTTCCTGGGAGGACACCGTCAAGCTAGGGAGACAGCACCCAGCCTCAAAGGAGGCCTCATCTGGGACCACTGACCAGTGAAGTTCCCTCCGATGACGTAGGGGATGACCCCTCCAGGCCATATCCTCTCTGCCCTCGAGGTTGTGGCTCTTCGGACACGCGGAGAAAAGGTCTCAGCTCTGGCATTCGAGGTTCCGGGGCTCTGCAGAAGCATAGCATTTTCCTGGCCATCTGCAAGAGAGGCATGCTGCCATTTACTTTGCCTTGAATTCCTTCTGTACATTATGGTTAAGACTGTATTATTCATGAATCCATAAAAAGGGGGGTGTGATGGGGCGCCTGGGTGGCGCAGTCGGTTGGGCGTCCGACTTCAGCCAGGTCACGATCTCGCGGTCCGTGAGTTCGAGCCCCGCGTCAGGCTCTGGGCTGATGGCTCGGAGCCTGGAGCCTGTTTCTGATTCTGTGTCTCCCTCTCTCTCTGCCCCTCCCCCGTTCATGCTCTGTCTCTCTCTGTCCCAAAAATAAAAAAAAAAAAAAAAAAAAAAGGGGGGTGTGAAGAACCTGTGTTCTACAGGGGGTATTTGGTCTGTTGAGGGTTTTGAACCCCTGGGTGTTAGTAAGGGTGCCAGGCCTCTGAGGGAAGCAAGTCTGGCTTGTTAGAAGCCTTGAACAGGCCCTGTGGGGCAAAGGGCAGCCAGAGACCCTCAGACTCAAGCTGCCCGGACAAGGCATCCTTTGGGAAGGAGCCGAGTTAGGGGTGTGCTCTCTTCTTAGCACTGGGAACACCCGAGGAAACTATTGAACCAGTCCCCTGCCCTGATGAAATACCCATCAGTGTTGTAAAGTTTGAAAACGATTTGGCCAGTCTGACAAACAGAGTGAACCAGTCGGTGATGCTGGGAAAATAAACTCTTTGCAAGATAACCCCCTGGAAAAAGCTGAGCCTCAGAAAATCCCCAACTCCTCCCAGTCTCTTGGCACAACTGGACCTTTCAGAGAGAAACGTGCAGAAGAAATGAAGGCTCTGTTAAGGTCCTGAGTCCAAGGTGTGGCTCCCGGAAATAGCAGAGATAGACAGGTGGGATAAAATCGCTCAAACCTATGGCAACCAAAGAGCTGACTCCACATTCATTTTCTTGGTCATTCCGACAATGTAAGATTTTGTTTTCAGGCTGCTTGCTCAGATTCCCTCACGATTCTCACTTGGAGCATTTGCTCTCTAGTTTCTGGATCGTTTCCCTAAAAATCAGCTTTTGATTTTGTTGGTCCCTTTCATTTTTTTATTATTTCATTAATTTTACGTATGTTATTACTTCCTTCCATTTTCACTTATTTTATTCTGATGTTTCCTTTCTATCTTCTTCTCTTTTTTAAAAACTGGAGATAGCATTCACACACCCTAATAGACACTCTTTGAAGGTATACGACTTGGTGGTTTTTTGTATATTCACAAAGTCGTGCAACCATCACCACTGCAGAACTCTACACTTTCACCGCCGCAAAAAGAAACCTACTAGCAGTCACTCCCCATTCCTACCCTCCCCCCAACACCCCGCCCAGTCCTTGGCAACCAGTAAATCCACTTTTTGTTTCTATGGATTTGCCTATTCTAGACATTGTACATAAATGGAATCATGCAGCATGTGGCATTTTGTGTCTGGCCTTCTTTCACTTAATAGGTTTTCAGGGTTCATCCGTGTTGTGGCATCGATCAGTCCCGCATTGTAACTTACGGCTGAATAATATTCTATTGAGTGGATATACCACATGTGTTTATCCGTTTCTCAGCGGATGGGCATTTGGGTGGTTGCTACTTTTTGGCTATCACGAATGATGCTATTATGCCCATTAACGTACACGTTTTTGTGTGGAAGTATGTTTTCAGTTCTTTTGGGTATATGCGAAACACTGGAATTGTTGGGTCACACAGTAACTTTATATTTAACCCTTCGAAGAACTACCAGACTGCTTCCCCTCAGCAACATACCAGGGTTCCAGTGTTTCCACATACTTGTCAACATTTGCTATTGTCAAGCTTGCTGATTTTAGCCATCCTAACAGGTGTGGTGTGGCGTCTCATTATGGCTTTGATGTGCATTTCCCTAATGACTAATGATGCCGAACAGCTCTTCATGTTCTTATCAGTCATTTGCATATCTCCTTTGAAGAAATGTCTTTTCAAATCCTGTGTCTATGTCTTAATTGGATTGTCTTTTTACTGTGTTATAATTATTCTTTATATATTCTGGATACCAGACCCTCATCAGACATAGGATTGATAAATATTTTCTGTAGGTTGTCTTTTCACTTTTACAATAGTGTGCTTTGAAGCATGAAAGTTTTAAATTTTGATGAAGTCCTAGTTATCCATATTTTTTCTTTTGTTTCTTATGCTTTTTGGGCCATATCTGAGAAATTACAGCCTAATCTAACCTCACTAAGATTCATATCTATGTTATATCTATTTACACCTACAGTTCTATAGTTTTGGTGCTTATATTTAAGTCTTTAATCATTTTGAGTTAATTTTTGTATATGGTCTGGGGTAAGGGTCCAATTTTATTCTTCTGCGTGTGGATATCCAGTTTTTCTAGCACCATTTGTTGAAAAAATTAGTTTTTCCCCTACAGAACTGTCTTGGCACTCTCCTAACAAATCAGTTGATCATCCTTTTCTGGCTTCTTTGGGTGAGTGTTTGGCACATAATTTTCAATCCTTCTTACATTCTAATACTAACATTTTAAGGCTAAAATTTCTCTGAGTTCCCCTTTACCTGAATTCTATCATTTGACATGCACATTTCAATATCAGACATTGATATATTCTATTAGCTCCATTTAGACTTTCTTCTTTGATCTTTGACTTATTTAGAAGTGTGACTTTTAACTTCTAAACATCTGTTTCTCTGTGGGTGTTATTAATCTCTAACATTACTTTGTGTTCTAAGAACCCATTCTCCAAGGCAGGGGCGGGGGTGGGCAGCAAACTTTTTTCCGTAAAAGGCCAACAGTAAATATTTTAAGTTTTGTGGTTAATATATTCTCTGTTGCAACTATCCAGTTATGCCACTGTAGTGTGAAAGCAGCCATAGACAATATGTAAATGAATGAGTATGGCTCTGTTCCAATAACAGTTTATTTGCAAAAACAGATGGCAGGCTGGATTTGGCCTCCTGGCCATAGATGACTAGTCCATGCTCCAAGGTATCAATTCTTTGGTAGTTTGAATCTTCCTTTGTAGCCCAGTATGTGATTGATTTTTATAAATGTTCCATATGTCCTTGGGATAATGCGCATCAGTTTCCATAATTGATAGTTAAGGGGTGCTACATATGTTGTTCACACATTCTATTTACAAATATTTTGGCTCCTCGGTGTATCAGTTACCAAGAAAAGTGCTTTAAGCATCCCTGACAACTAAGATTGTGAATTGTCATTTTCTCTTTTATTCTTAACTTCTGCTTTATATTGTTCAAGGCTACGCTTTTTAATACAAGTAAAATATTGTTAAAGGCTCCTAGTGAATTTCATCATTAATGACCCTCTTTATCTGTAATAATGTTCATCCATAATAAAGATTCTTTTGGCCGATATTGATATTACTGTATCAGTTTTATTTTGATTAGTGTTTGCCTCATATAGCTTTTCTCCACTCATTTATTTTTGATCTGTGTAATTAAGCTTTTTTTTTAAATGAGTCATTCAATAGGCGTTATTCTGTGAATAAATTACATTTCCCACAACAAACAATAAAAGAAATTTTGCAATGGTCATAATACTGAGGTTCAATTTTTTTATTGTATATGAAATAGTTTTTATAAATTGAAACTTTTATTGAGATACTTGTAGATTCACATGCAGTTGTAAGAAATAATAGAGACAGATTTTGTATATCCTGTGTGACACCATTTCCACTAGTAGCAACATTTTATGAAACTACAGTACAATATCACAACTCGGATATGGACATTAATGTAATCCACTGATCTCAGTCTGATTTCTCCAGCATCACATATAGTTGTGTGTGTGTGTGTGTGTGTGTGTGTGTGTGTAGTTGTACGGAATTTATCACATGTATAGGTTTGTGTATCCATCAAGATACTAAACAGCTGCATTACCCTAAGGATCCCTCATGTTGACATTGTATAATCATATTTCCCTGCCCCTGTCCTATCATCCATCCCTAAACTCTCAACTCTAATCTGTTCCCCATTTAGAAAATGTTGTCATTTGAAGGATATTATATAAGTGGAATTTTACGGTACATAACTTTGGGAATTGGCTTTTCTCACTCAGCATAATTCTCTGGAGATTCATCTGAGTTGTTTTATGTATCAATAGTTTCCTTTTATTGCTGAGTAGTAGTCCATGGTATGCATGCACCACAGTTTGTTTAACCATGCACCTGGTAAAAAGCATCTGGGTGGTTTCTTGACATTACAAATAAAGCCATTATGAACATTCATATACAAGTGTTTGTGTGAAGATAAGTTTTTATTTCTCTGAGATAAATACCTAAGAGAGGAATTGTTGGGTTATATGGTGTGTGAGTTGATTTCTGGGTTCTCTATGTTGTTCCATTGATCCTGGTGTTTATCCCTCTGCTAATATGACATTGTCTTGCTTAGTGTAGATATACAGTAAGCCTTAGTATCTGGTAGAGTAATTACTCCCATTTTTAGGCTTCTTTTCCATGATTGTTCTAGTTATGTTTTCATATAAATTTTATGTCTGCCCATATAGATTTTAGAACAAGTTTGTCTATGTCTAAAAAAACCAAAAACCAACCCAAACCAACAAACAAAAACAAAAACCATGCTGGGATTTTGATAGGAATTACATTAAACCTGTAGATCAATTTGGAGATAATTGGCATCTTTACCATATTCAGTCTTCCAACCCATGGACATAGTATGTCTCTCCATTTATGTAGGTCTTTCTTGATTTCTTTCATCAGCCTTGTGTAATTTTAGTATACAATCATTGTACATGTTTTTTGAAAGTGTATATCTAGGATGGAGTGTCTGGGTGGCTCGGTCAGTTAAGCATCTGACTCTTAATTTTGGCTCAGGTCATGGTCTCACGGTTTCGTGAGTTTGAGCCCCATGTCAGACTCTGTGCTGGCAGCATGAAGCTTGGTTGGGATTCTCTCTCTCCCTCCTTCTCTCTCTGCCTCTCCCCCACTCACACTGTCTCTGTCTTTCTCAAGGTAAATAAATAAAACTTTTAAAA